GAGCACCTGTTGGGATGAGCACTGGGTGTTGTATGGAAACCGATATGACAATATATTTCATATTTTAAAAAAATAAATAAATAAAATAAAAATGAAAAAAGTGAACTGAATTATTATTGTTAGGCAAACTTATATGATAATTTTATTTATTTATTTATTTATTTATTTATTTATTTATTTATTTAGAGACAGAGAGAGAATGAGCAGAGGGAGGGGCAGAATGAGGAAGAGAGAGAATCCCAAATAGGCTCCTCGTGGTCAGCACAGAGCCCAATGTAGGACTCAAACCCATGAAACTGTGAGATCATGACCTGAGTTGAAATCAAGAATTGGATGCTTAACAAACTAAGCCACCCAAGGGGCCGATATATGAAAATTTTTAAATGAAAACATAGATCCTACTATTGTGTTCTGGCAAAGGAGTCCATATTAAAAGGAACTTCTACCTACAAAGGTGAATAAGAAATGCAGAAACCAGAAAAATTCATATTATAAATAAAAAAGCATAAATTTGGTATATTTTTATTAAGAAAAAATTGGAGTATCCAAGCACACATTAAAATTCACTTACTTTGAATTCTGTATAATTTTAATAACAAACATTACGAGTAATTAGTAATAGGGTTATCTAAAGAGTTTAATTTCAGGAGGTTCCCCAAACTGGCTCTGGAAATTACGTAAATAAGAGAAAAATTGTAACATCCTGCTCCTGAAACAATCTGAATGTTTCCACAAGGTCTAATTCAACATGAAACTGTTTTCTATAAACCTATGGGTCATGGCCATATTAATTCAGAACTATACTCAGGCCCAGAAGAATGTCTATGTTAATACCTATTTGACTTGGTGATTCAAGGCCTTGTAAGTTTGAGTACATGAGAATGATTCACAGGAGAACTCCTGATTCCATTTTGAATAATTTCAAATTATTCCAGCTTTTCTTCATTTTGTTAACAGGAGCTATTTAGAGCTATTTATTGTCTGAAAATACCAACATTAAATTTAAAGAGTCTCTAACAATGAATACTAAGAAAGAATTCATAGCAATTTTATACAACAGCTGTTTAATTTTTTCATTAAATCATTCATTCAAACAGTGTTTTAAAAGTGCATATAGCATGTTCATATGTCAGGTAATACCCAAATAAGAAAACATCTACTTTATTTCCCAGTAAAACATAAAACAAAGCAGAATCAGCAAATATCCAGCTGAAAATTATACGGTTTATAGTAGTCATACTATTATTAGTGTTTCCAACCTCAAAATTATTTACTTCCATATGTCATGAGGCAATATAATTAATTAATCAAATTAGACTGTTTCTGAGATTTTTTCAAGATTCTTTTTTGTAAATAGATTAGAAAGGCTCTAATATTTCTTTAATGTCTTCTGATTTTAAACATGCTCACAGCAAATTAATATAAGTTCTTAAAATTTATTGATAGCCATTCTCAAACATTACCTGATCAATATACTACTGAGTAGCCACTACTGAATTATATACAAATAATTCTATAATTATATAAATGGATAATAATAAATAACAAACAGAATTCTGAATGCACAATTTGTCATTCCACTGTCAAAAAAAATAATAATGAGGCATCATTGAGTACATCGTGAGTATTGGCATCTAATTAGAAATCCTAACTCTTGAATTTTCTCCAAACTTTGCCATTAACTATGTGGAATTATGCAAGTCACTTAATCTCATTCATCATTTGTAAAATGAATACATGTAGAGATCATATCTAAGGTCCTTCCCAGAACTCCAGAATTCCATACTTAATTATAGGAAATATAACGAACTAAGTGAAGCTGTTGCTGAAACAGAAAAAAAAAATTCCCTATCTTATAAGCATATGGTATTTTTTAAATAGTAAATTTTTGAGAAGAATACTGGTTTTCTAAGTTCTTACTTGACTTCATTAAATGGAATCCTGCCAATATTTCCACTATAAATTCTTATTTCAGGTGTTTAATATTTAGCCATAAAATATAGTACTGGAAAGAAACTGAAAAAATCACTTAAAAACTACAGTATAATTTTCCCCAGAAGGCATTTTACAGTGTTTTATGTTAATCATAGGACATGTTGTGAGACAGTCTGTAGATAAACAAAAGCACCCTGACAGGTTGAATAAACTGTAAATATTTATATTCAATACTCATAAAAATTTCCACAGCTGGGAAAGGTGAAGTTACCAAGTAATATTGGCATCTGCAGCATACAAAGTATGAAAAAGACAGCCTCCTCCTCTAACGATCTACAAAGCCAAAATTAGAGTTGATGCAATTACCTTACTATCTACAGCTGTGTCAAGTAAGTCTCTAGAGTAGTATTTGCATACAGACAGGATGAGACTAAGGTAGAAAGCAAAGCAAATGTAAGAAAACCAAATGGTACCTATCTATAAAAATGAGGT